AGGCGCGCACGGCAACTGTGAGCACGGCCTTCACAGGCAACGTGGCTCTCTCTTCCCGGATCGGTACCGATGGGTTGATGGAGAGCGCGGCCTTCACAGTCAGCGTGGCTCTCTCCCCGGATCGGTACCATGGTTACCACGGGCTCCAGGCTGTTGTCAGGGACGTCGGTCCCGGCGGTGGGTGGCCTACCCTCACCAAGACCAACTACGTCGAGTGGGCTACGGTGATGAGGGTAAAGCTCCAGGTGTAGCACATGTGGGAGGCAGTCCGGTACGACGACGTCGACTACGACCTAGATCGACGGGCGCTGGATGCCCTCATCGCTGTAGTCCCGCCCAAGATGCAGTTCTCGCTTACCAACAAGCGGACTGCCAAGGAGGCTTGGGACGCCATTGCTGCGGCACGCATCGACAGCGACCGCGCCCGCAAGTCCACACTGCAGGCACTTCGCAAGGAGTGGGAGAACCTGGCCTTCAAGCCAGGTGAGGACGTTGATGACTTTGCTCTCCATCTCAACACTCTGTTGCAGAAGATGGTGCAGTTCGGCGATGACACCTACGGCGAGGAGAGAGCTGTCAAAAAGCTCTTCCGCTGTGTCCCCGAGAAGTACAAGCAGATGGCTCGCTTGATCGAGTCTCTGCTGGATCTCTCCATGATGTCGATCGAGGAGGCGATAGGTCGCCTCAAGGTCGTCGACAGCGATGAGCCACAGTCCCTCTCGGGGCCCATCACCACTGGCGGGAAGCTCTTTCTCACTCGGGAGCAGTGGCTTGCCAGCCAAGGTGACCGGAAGAAGGGGGAGCCTTCTTCCATGATAGGAGGCTGCAAGCGTGGCAAGTCGTGCAAGGCGCGCAGAGACGCCCAGGCCGAGGCGCGAGGACGTGCCGAGGGTGATGCCCACGGAGGCGCCTAGGGCGGCGCCGCCGGCAGGCACAAGCCGGCACGAGACGACACCTGCCGTAACTACGGCCAGCTTGGCCATTGGGCCAAGGACTGTCGACAGCCACGACGTGGCCAGGCCCACGTCGCACAGGCAGAGGAGCTGGCTCTGTTCATGGCACATGCAAGCATCGAGCTACCTCTAGCGGCAACGGCCGCAGCGGCCCTCCTCCACCTTGACGAGCCAAAAGCACACGCCCTCCTCGGCGACGGCTCCAGCAACGACAAGATTGTTGGGTGGTGCCTCTACACCGGTGCCACCCATCACATGACCGGTCGATGGGAGTTCTTCACCGAGGTTGACTCTAGCGTCCAAGGCTCCGTCAAGTTTGGGGATTCCTCCGACGTGGACATCAAGGGCGTCGGCTTCGTCATCTTCACCGCTGTGTCTGGTGAACACAGGCTGCTCACCGGAGTCTACTACATCCCTGTGTTAAGGAACTCCATCATCAGCTTGGGACAGCTAGATGAGAATGGTTTGCGCGTGGTGGTTGAGGATGGAGTCATGAGGATTTGGGATCGCCGTCGTCTCCTTCTTGCCAAGGTATCTAGAAGCGCAAATCGACTCTACGTCCTTAACATGCAGGTGGCACAACCCCTCTGTCTCGCTGCTCGTCGGGACGACGAGGCATGGTAGTGGCAAGAGCGTTTCAGGCACCTTCACTTCGAGGCCCTGAAGCGGCTCAGTGCCACGGAGATGGTGCGAGGCCTGCCGTGCCTCGACCATGTGGAGCAACTCTGCGATGTCTGCGTGTTGACAAAGCAGAGGCGACTCCCCTTTCACCAGCGGGCGAGCTTTCGAGCCAAGGAGAGGCTTGAGCTTGTGCATGGGGACTTGTGTGGCCTGGTGACAACGGCCACACTGGGAGGATGACGCTACTTCTTGCTGCTCGTCGACGACCTCTCCCGCTACATGTGGGTGATGGTCCTCGGTAGCAAGGGAGAGGCTACGGACACCATCAGGCGCTCGCAGGCTGCTGCTGAGGTGGAGTGCGGCCGCAAGCTGTGCGTGATGCGCACCGACAACGGCGGTGAATTCACGGTGGCTGAATTCGCGTCGTACTGCGCTGATGAGGGCATTCAGCGCCACTACTCCGTGCCGTACAGCCCACAGCAGAACGGCGTCGTCGAGCGGTGCAACCAGACGGTTGTGGGGATGGCTCGGGCCCTTCTCAAGCAGAGGGGGATGCCGGCTATCTTCTGGGGAGAGGCGGTGGTGTCAGCCGTCTACATCCTCAACCGCTCGCCTACCAAGGTGCTCGACGGCAGGATGCCGTACGAGGCTTGGCATGGGCGCAAGCCAGCGGTCTCCCACTTGTGGGTCTTCGGCTATCTCGCGTTCGCCAAGGAGCTTGGCCACATCAGCAAGCTCGACGACAGGAGCACTCCGGGAGTGTTCATCGGCTACGTGGAGGGCTCGAAGGCCTACCACATCCTCGACTCGAAGACACAGCGTGTGCGCATGGCGCGCGACGTTGTGTTCGGGCGTGGGACAAGGCAGTGGACGACGGCTCGGCTCCGACGTACGATGACTTCACTGTCGAGTACGTCCACTTCGAGGGAGCTGGGGGAGTAGGCAGCTCTTCTTCGGCGAGCGCGTCTACCCCAGTCCCTGAGCCTCCATCGACTCCGGCGCCTGCTTCTCCGACAGCACCACGCTCTCCAACCAGGACCTCGGCTGCGATGAGTCCTTCGCTGGCTCCACCACAGCCGGCACCGCCACGCACTCCAGCACCGACAGGCAGCTCTCCGGGCACATCTACTCCAACACCAGCTCGTGTCGAGCACAGCCCGGTTGAGCTCTCTACTCCACTCTCTCACGATGAGGAGCGCATCGACGCGTACCACGACGGCGAGCCGTTGCGGTACCGTACGATGGAGAACCTTCTCGGTGACCAGCCGGTGCCGGGACCAGTGCCTCACGACCTAGAGGCGCAGTTGCACCTTGCGTGTGACGACGGCGAGCCTCGGTCGTTTGCAGAGGCCGAGAGACGCGGCATGGCGCGCCGCGATGCAGTTGGAGGATGCGGTCAAGAAGAACTGCACTTGGGAGCTTGCTGACCTTCCTCGTGGTCACCGCGCGATCACCCTTAAGTGGGTGTACAAGCTGAAGAGGGATGAAGCCGGCGCCATCATCAAGCACAAGGCTCGCTTGGTGGCACGAGGTTTCGTGCAGCAGGAGGGGGTCGACTTCGACGACGCCTTTGCTCCCGTGGCACGGATGGAGTCCGTGCGACTCCTTGCGCTAGCTGCCCAGGAGGGCTGACGTGTTCATCACATGGACGTCAAGTCGGCATTCCTTAACGGCGACTTGGAGGAGGTCTACGTGCACCAGCCGTCGGGATTTGCGATCTCCAGCAAGGAGGGCAAGGTGCTCCGCCTGCGCAAGGCCCTATATGGCTTACGGCAGGCACCGAGGGCGTGGAATGCCAAGTTGGATTCCACGCTAAAGGGGATGGGCTTTGAGCAAAGCCTGCACGAGGCCGCCATCTACCGACGGGGCAGTGGAGGAAATGCTCTGCTGGTGGGTGTCTACGTCGACGACTTGCTGATCACCGGCACCAAAGATGCGGAGGTGGCGGTATTCAAGAAAGAGATGAAGGCCACCTTCCAGATGAGTGACCTAGGGCCTCTCTCCTTCTACCTGGGAATCGAGGTGCACCAGGATGACTCCGGGATTACGCTTCGACAGACCGCCTACGCCAAGCGCGTCGTTGAGCTAGCTAGGCTCACCGACTGCAACCCGGTTCTCACTCCGATGGAGAGGCTGAAGCTGAGCCGCGACAGCACGACGGAGGAGGTGGACGCTACGCAGTACCGGCGTCTTGTGGGGAGCCTTCGCTACCTCGCCCACATGCGGCCGGACTTGGCATTCTCCGTCGGCTACGTTAGTCGATTCATGCAGCGACCGACGACGGAGCACCAGCAGGCTGTGAAAAGATCATCCGCTACGTTGCGGGGACTTGATCACGGCCTCTACTACCCTAGGTGCCCTGGGGCGGCACACTTCGTCGAGTACAGCGACAGCGACCACGCCGGCGACATCGATACCAGCAAGAGCACGAGCGGGATCCTCTTCTTCCTCGGCAAGTGCCTCGTTAGCTGGCAGTCGGTCAAGCAGCAGGTGGTGGCCCTGTCCAGCTGCGAGGTCGAGTACATAGCGGCCTCCACCGCTTCGATTCAGGCGCTCTGGCTTGCTCGACTGCTTGGTGATCTCCTCGGCAGAGACTAGAGCGGTGGAGCTCAGGGTGGACAGCAAGTCCGCTCTGGCCCTGGCAAAGAACCCCATCTTCCATAAACGCAACAAGCACATCCGGGTGAGGTACCACTTCATCCAAGGCTATTTGGAGGAAGGGAGCATCAAGGCGAGCTACATCAACACCAAGGACCAGCTTGCGGACCTGCTCACCAAGCCCTTTGGGAGGATCAAGTTCCTTGAGCTCTGCTCGAGGACCGGGATGGTTCAACTTTCCCACAAGACGACACACAAGACTTAGGGGGAGCATGATGGATAAATCTGGCTGGTCTGGTCTTTGTGGGGCTGCTGGCTGTTGCTGCCACAAGGACATCTTAGAGGACAACATCTTAGAGGACAGCATCTTAGCATCTTAGACTAGCATCTTAGCATATGATTGGCTGGCTAGCAGCCTATAAATATGTATCCCCAACCCCTCAGGCTGGCATGACATTTGTGTGAGAAATAAACCAGAAAATTGCCTCAACTCCTAGGGTCATCCTCTCTCGATGAGAGTAAGAATTCTGCTACTACCAAGAGTAAGAATTCAGTGACTAACACGCTGTACATGCTAATGAACCAGTGAAATGCCTGTTGCTTTGCTTTCATTACTAACTTTAAAAGGCCACACTTCTTCCGCATTTGTTGAACTCCACTTTTTCGTTTAACTATATGTCTTTACGTGTTGCAGGTTATTGATATGAAAAGGGGGAAACTAGAGCCAAAGGAAAAGGTTATGTCATGGATATTATGAATACTGCTCGAGATTGCTTAGTAGATGTAATTACGTTTTGGTACTTAAATTCTCATATCTTATGTTGGCAGATTTGTGAAGAACCTGAAAAGGGAATTTATTTTATGAAGTTAGACGAGACAAATGTCACAACCCAAAAGGTTAGGGATTATGCATTCAATCCCTTTAGCAATTTCTTGGTCTTCTACAGGCCAGTGTGACACAGGGTGCATACAGTTAGTTCTTAAGCATCTTTTGTTAGGATGGAGGGCCTTATATCAACTATCTAGTGTATTGTGACATCCTGCATTCCCAGAAAACATGTTAATTCATGTTCTCTCAGCGAGGATATATTGAAGCATGTACAATGGAGGTGCTCGAAAAAAACCTTTTTCTTCAACCATTAGCACCTGATTCTTAAAAGATGGATAAAATGCTTAAGTTAGCATCAATGCTTAATGTGTGTTAACATATTGGTTTAAGCTTATCTAAGAACCTGTTAGCATTGTAGGAATGAACTTCTATACCAATGCTTAGTGATATGACAATGCTCTGTCTCCCTAAGCACCTTGTGTCTAAGCATCTTGCATTGTACATGCCCTTAGAGCAACTCCATTCTTGGCAGTGCCTTTGATTTAAACTTACAGCTATTGAACCAACTTTTTATTATACTGTACTCGCATGATGATATGTATACACATTCATTCTTAACGAAAACCCTGTAAATGGAAGGTTTATAAATTGATAATTTTTTATCTATTTTATTTTATGTAAATCCTTTGTTCTACTGCCACCTGATTGTTCCCTACCAACTTTTGAGATTCTGAAGGGTGCTAAAGATAAAAGAAAGGAAACCTTTGCAGAAGGCAATGCTCAGGAGGAATGCAAGGTTTGTGACCTTTCATCACGGTGATAGTTTGTTGATTTTCTGTGATTAACTTGCACTGAAAAGCTTTTGAATGTTTTCTCTTTTCTTTGGTCTAAAAAAACCATTAATGCCTTAATGATAACATATGTTAAGATTCAATTGGTATTGGTGCTGAGAACCAGCTCCCTGAGGTCAAGCCAGTGGTGTCCTCTGTCTTGAACCATGAGCCATCTTGAACCAAATCGAGTAGGTGGATACCATTCCATCTCTTTGCACATTTCTGTCTGAAAACCAGGGTTACATGGACACCGTGTAGGTGTTGGTGTCCATTTCGGGTGTGGGTGTCTGATTCGGAGATATTTTGGAGACACGCCAAATTGCACTTGGTATCCGACATGGGTGTTGGAATCTGACACAGGTGCAGGGTTGTCTGACTTGGCAAAAAAATATAAGACACTGTTGTCCAGGTAACACTGCTGAAAACCAACTTCATGGCTTCATCTCAGGCTAGCTTATCCTCCACAGTCCACACTGGTGTAACTACAGTGGCTTTGAGGAACTTCCTTTTTTTTTGAGGGCTCAGTGGGGAAATTCCCCCACCTGTTTTTTTTTTGTATTAATTTCAGGAACTTCCTTGTTTTGTACATTAATTTTTCTGTTATGTGTACTTTGATGCAATGCTTGTTCTAGTTGAGCATTTTTTTCCTGTTATGCACTTCTTTTTTGTTGCAAAATTAGTTGTGATCAGCAATGGAGCACATGTCAAGGGCGTCAAACCCTTGAGTAGCTGGACCTCGGCTACGTAATTCGTAGTCGTGATCCGTCTTCTAGGGCGAGGTTGTACCCCTCAGCGACCTAAGCTTGAGAGTTGGGAGAAAGAAGACAGAGTGGTTTATATCTTTCTTATTCTCTAAGGTGCCGGTTACAGGGAAAATACATAATCCTTGATGGAATAAAAATAGTAACTAATCCCTCCTCAATCTTAGGGATACTAACAACTATTGCCTATATTAGCCACTAGAAATCTTAGGGATACTAACAACTATTGCCTATATTAGCCACTAGAAGGCTCGGCCAACCTCGGGCAGCGTCCTGTGGACGGGTGGGCGCCACCACAGACCTGATGTCATGTCACGGGCCGGCGCCTCTCGGTATAGGTCCGGCCATACATGACATCTCTCCTCCTCCCTGTATGTACAGCTCGTCCCCGAGCCGGAATGCTTTGAAAGCGCTACCAAGGAGTCCCGATCCTCCAAGTAGCGGAAGAAGCCGCTCGCCCTTCTTCAACGACGAGACTCTGGCGCGCACGCCCAAGCGTGCCGAGTAAAGTGCGATAACGCTGTCCGGTTCCGGAACCGTAGCGCCATTGTGGATGGCCGGAAGCGGCGGAGGAGCTGCCGAAGGGAGACCCGCCCATTTTTTTAGGAGCCCGACGTGGAAGACGTCATGGAGCCTAGCCCAAGGCGGAAGTGCAACACGAACGGCGACGGCGTTGATGATCTCGGTGACCTGATATGGCCCGAAGAAGCGAGGCTTCAGCTTCCCTGTTGTGGCGTCGGAAAGGGACACGATGGGGCGATGACGTAGGCGCAGCAGCACCCAATCGCCCACGGCGTAAGCCACCGCGCGGTGCTGCTTGTCGTAGTGCCGCTTCTGGACCGCCTGTGCCTGTTCCAGCCGGAAACGAACGTCCTGGAGGAACTCCTCGCGCTCAGCCATAGCCTTGGCCACAGCAGCAACCCGCGTTTCCCCAGGCTCATAAGAGCGGATGGTCGGGGGATCACGGCCGTAGACAATGCGGAAGGGCGTGTCACGGAGGGAGGTCTGGTACGCCGTGTTGTAGACGAACTCTGCCCAAGGGAGCCACCTAAGCCATTGACGAGGGCGATCACCTGTGAAACAGCGAAGGTACATGGTGATGACGCGATTGGCCGCCTCAGTTTGGCCATCCGACTGTGGATGGAAGGCTGTCGTCATGTGCAGCTGGCCCCCATGAGCCGCATCAACTCGCGCCAAAACGTCGAGGTAAAGATGGGATCCCGATCGAACACCAGGGACTGCGGCATCCCATGGAGGCGGACGATGTCGGCGAAGAAAGCCTGAGCGACGGACTCTGCAGAGTATGGATGAGCCAGTGGAATAAAGTGACAATACTTGCTGAAGCGATCCACCACAGTGAGGATGACAGATTTGCCCCGAACTTTGGGCAAAGCTTCCACGAAGTCGAGCCCAATGTCCGTCCACACTGCTGTCGGTACGGGCAGCGGCAGAAGGAGTCCCGCCGGGTGGAGGTGCTCTGACTTGTACCGCTGGCAAGTGGCACAAGCACGAACAAAGTTCTGCAGGTGCTGGCGCATGTTGGGGAAGTGGAAGTTGCGGTGGAGACGATGCAGCGTGCGCTGGACACCCTCGTAGCCGTCCTCATGGATTGCGGCGATGATCTCCAGAAGGAGTGGCGAAGACGGGGCGATGTAGAGGCGACCGTCGTAGGTGACCAAGCTGTCCTGGATGGCCCAAGGCGCCGCGCGGGTGCCTGCGACGATCTCGTCTCGAAGGGCAACGAGAGCCGGATCCACAGCCTATGCTTTACGAAGGCGGTCGATGAAGTCGAAACGTGGCGCAAACAACGCCAAGACCGCCCCCGTGCTGTCCTCGGTGTCGCGGCGAGACAGCGCATCAACGACCGTGTTCTGGGTGCCCGGCTTGTACTCTACGGTAAAGTCGAACCCCAGGAGCTTCCCGACCCAATGATGCTGCAGGATCGTGGCAAGCCGCTGGTCCAACAAATACTCCAGACTGTAATGATCGGTCCGCACTGTGAAGCGGCGGCCCCAGAGGTACGGGCGCCAATGGCGGATGGCGTGGACGAGGCCAATGAGCTCCCGTTCATAGGCGGCGAGGGAGCGGTGGCGAGGAGCAGCCGGCCTGCTGAAGTACGCGATGGGATGCTTGTCCTAGATGAGCACCGCCCCGAAACCGTGTGTCGACGCGTCGCACTCAACGACGAACGGCTGGGCAAAGTCGGGTAGCGCCAATACTGGCGTAGATGTCACCGCGGCCTTGAGGGCCGAGAGCGCCGTGGTGGCCTCCTCGGACCAGACGAAGCCCTCCTTCAAGAGCGCGGTGAGAGGCGCCGCGATTGCGCCATAGTTGTGGACGAATTTGCGGTAGTAGCCTGCGAGGCCTAGGAACCCACGCAATGCACGCGCTGAGCGGGGCTGGGGCCAGTCGAGGACCGCCTACACCTTTGCAGGATCCATGGCTACGCCAGCGTCGGAGATGATGTGGCCGAGGTAGGCGATGGAGGTGACGCCGAACGCGCACTTGGATCGCTTGACGACGAGGCGGTGGTGGCGCAGGACAGAGAGAACGACGCGGAGGTGGCGAAGGTGATCCGCCCAGGACGCACTGTAGATCAGAATGTCGTCAAAAAATACGAGGACGAACCGGTGGAGGAAGGCGCGAAGGACATCGTTCATTAGCGCCTGGAATGTGGTTGGGGCGTTGCAGAGGCCAAACGGCATCACCAGGAACTCGTACAGCCCCTCGTGTGTGCGGAAAGCAGTCTTGGCGATATCCTCAGGCGCCATCCGGACTTGGTGATAGCCGGAATGGAGGTCGAGCTTGGTGAAGAATTTTGCGCCGTGTAGCTCATCGAGCAGCTCATCGACCACTGGGATCGGGAAGGCGTCCTTGACTGTGATGGCATTCAGGGCGCGGTAGTCGACGCAGAAGCGCCAGGAGCCATCCGCCTTCTTGATGAGGAGGACCAGGGACAAGAACGCCGACGAGCTCCACCGAATGAGCCCTTGCTGAAGCATGGCGGCGCACTGCCGCTCCAGTTCATCCTTGTGCATGGTCGGGTAGCGGTATGGGCGCATGACCACCGGCTGGGACCCGGGCTGGAGGACGATGTGGTGGTCGCTGCTCTAAGGAGGAGGCAGACCACTCGGCTCGGCAAAGAGGTCGGAGAAGCTCTCGAGCAGTTCGTCCAGCAGAGACATCATGGTCTGGGTGACGTGGGCACTGGTTGTGGTCGGCCCTGGCAGACCACTCCAGCACAGCTCGCGGCCCTCGAGCTGGAAGGAGACAGTGCGGGTGCTGAAATCCCAAACAATGGGTCCCAACGTTGCCAACCACTGGGTCCCTAGGACCATGTCGAAGCCGGCGAGAGGCATGACGTAGAGGTCGGTGTGAAATGGCGTACTGTGGATGGAGAACGCCGTGTTGCGAGCGACGCCCACGCACGACACACGCTCCCCATTTGCGACGGTGGTGGTGAGACGTGGTCGGAGCTAGAGAGGGAGACCGGTGAGCTGCGCCGCGTCGTCCGAGATGAAGTTGTGCGTGGACCTAGAGTCCAGAAGCGCGACGAGGCAAGTGGTGCCCAGCTGGACGTGGACCTGCATGGTGTTGCTGAGGCAGACATCGGCGATGGCCTGCGGGGAGAAAGCGGGTGACTCCTCAGAGCCTGCCTCCTCGGTGGGCTCCTCCGTGTCGTCGTCCTCCACGGTGCTGTCCAGGAAGAAGAGGCGCTTGCAGACCTGGTTATGGCCGCGGGAGAACTTCTCGTCGCAGTTGTAGCAGAGGCCGAGACGGCGACGTTCTTCCTGCTCGGCCGATGTCGGCCGCTTGATCAGTGGTCGGCCCTCGATGGCGGCTGGTGGAGAGGTGGTCGCCGGCACCGGCAGCAGTAGACGTGGGGCCAGGGCCAGAAGCAGCGGCCTGGCGCCCGCGCGGCTAACGGTGGTCGAGGGCGCCGTGAACTACTCCCGCAGTTCCAGCTGGCGGGCCAAACTCATCGCGGCTGCTAGGGACTGGGGGTTGTGCACCTGCACGTCGAGGCTAAGCGGGGGCAGTAGTCCGCCGGTGAAGAGCTGGATGCGCTGCGCCTCGTCAAGGGCCCCGGCCCGTGGCAGCAGCGCCTGGAACCGATCCTGATAGTCGGCGATGGTGCTGGTGTGGCGGTAATCAGCGAGCTCGAAGAGAGGCGTGTTCCGTAGGGGCAGGCCGTACCGCAGGTTGATGAGCTCCTTGAATCGGCGCCATGATGGAGTACCCTCGTCCGTCTGGACTTGGATGTACCACATCTGGGCCCTGTCCTCCAGGTTGTAAGAGGCCATCCAAACCTTCTCCTCCTCCATGATCTGTTGCTGGTGGAAGTAGGATTCGCAGCAATTGAGAAAGATCAGCAGATCAGACTTGCCATCGTACCTCGGGAAATCCATCTTCTGGAATTTGGGAGGACGATCGACAGAAGGGATGCCCTCGGCTTGCTTGGAGCCCGAGGATGATGAGCGATCGGTGGAGAGGGCCGTGATCGCCGTCGTGTTGGCCTCGACGGTGGTCTGCAGGCGCTGGACTGCCTTCGCGAGCGACTCAACGGTGGACCTCAGATCGTCGCCCATGCTGCTGGCGCAGGAGGACGCGGGTGATGGCTGTTGGATCGGAGGTGGAGTGGGCGGGTCGGCGGCTGGAGCGCGGAAACAAGAGGATCGCCAGAATCGTGATACCAGGTTGTCAAGGGCGTCAAACCCTTGAGTAGTTGGACCTCGGCTACGTAATTCGTAGCCGCGATCCGTCTTCTAGGGCGAGGTTATACCCCTCAGCGACCTAGGCTTGAGAGTTGGGAGGAAGAAGACAGATTGGTTTATATCTTTCTTATTCTCCAAGGTGCCGGTTACAGAAAAATATATAATCCTTGATGGAATAAAAATAGTAACTAATCCCTCCTCAATCTTAGGGATACTAACAACTATTGCCTATATTAGCCACTAGAAGGCTTGGCCAACCCCTGTGCCGCGTCCGTGACGCGCTAGGCGCGCTCAGCCGCGCGCTTGATGTCACGGGCCCGACGCCTCCTGGTATAGGTCCGGCCGTACATGACAGCACAGGTATCAGACTGATATGGATACATGGATATGCCATTATAAAAAAAATACATGGATATGTTTTATTATTTTTTCAAAGAAAATAATAATTGACATATAATAGCAGGAACAACAAATTATATTGTGATTTTACGTTTGCATGTAGGCTGCAAAAAACAAGCAGCATCAGTTTAATTAGAGACAGGATCATTGAAATGATGCCTTCAGGTCAATGCCTCGTTGTAATTTTAAAGACAAACACAATGTATACATGCTAATAAAGATGTTAATCTGGACAAAGTATATATCATAGAAAATACACATGTGAATACACTTCACCATGCCACACTTACATTCTCAGCTCATAAATGAACTAAAGGCCCACCAACCCTCTCCCTTGAGCCTAGGCAACTAGCCCTCAACCAATCACCCCCACGAGAACATAAGCTAGCAGCCTTAGCAGTCTTCTCCAGCTCCCCACGACTACCAGCCACAGCCGCCGTCGCCGCTGACTCTCCCTCTGCTGCAGCAGAGCATCCCCATGGCTCACCCACACTAATCCTCAGCAGCAGCATCTTCTTTTTGCTCTCCTCACTCACATAGCAGATTGGTTAGCGGCGGCGGGTGCCATGAAGCAGTGGCCTAGTTCGTTGATAGGACCTGATGCTCTACCGGTGTTGCTGCGCAGGTTATAGAGGTGGAAAAGGGGTGGACGCGGTCTGTACTCTCGACGACGGCGAGGGGCCATGGCGGCAAGAGCGGCGGCTGCTGCTGCCGCCCTAGAGTTCACGCAGCGCTACAGTAACACGAGTATTGTTCACGCGAGGGAGAGAGGGCAGGGACGGCTGGCTCCCAAGGGAAGCCAGCAACTTAATTGTTGCTTTCTGCTTCATTCCAATCATCCCCGATTATAAGTATTTATCCTTCCCTATAGATGCTATAATTAAGGAACTATATCTATCTCTAAGAAAATACCAAATAAGCGATAAATTGGGACTCTAAGCCCCTTAACAGACCGGCCCCCTAGCCACTATTGGGCCTGCGCCTGGCATAGGGGATGCCGGTCATAACATCTCTCCCCGCCTGCGCAAACAACTCGTCCTCGAGTTGGAAGTCGGGGAAGTGCTCGTGGAACTCGTCAAGAGTCCTCTGGTGGTATGGCCGCTTCCCCGTATTCGGTGGGTGCGGTGTCCTCCTCAATGTAGTCCTCGGACTCCAGGTAGAAGAGCCGCGGACACACATGTCCAGGGACGTAGGGCTCGTCGCAGTTGTAGCATAGTCCTTGGTGACGACGTTCCAGCTGCTCCGCCGGTGTAAGGCGGCGAAACGGGGGCGCCGCGGGGGCCGCATTGGCCGCAGCGGGGGCCTACCCGGCCTAGGCCGCCCCGGGTGCACGCGCCGGAGGAGGTTGACCCTGACGCGGAGCCGGCGCCGGCTGTATGGCAGCCGCACGACGCTCGAACGCCTGGGCGTAGTACATGGCCGTCTGGAGGTCCGGGGGGTCGCGCATCTCCACGTCCACCCGGATATGATCCGGAAGGCCACCAACGAAGAGCTCGGCCCGTTGACACGTGGAGACGTCCCGGGCGTGACATGCCACCGCCTAGAAGCGATCGGCGAACTCCCACAGTGGGAACAAACGGCAGCCGGCCAAGCTCAGCCAGTCGACTCCCGCGGATCAGAGGGCCGAAGCACATACGACACAGCTCCTTGAAGTGCTCCCATGGTGGCGTGCCCTCGTCCTGCTCGAGGGCGTAGTACCAAGTCTGGGCCGCCCCCCGGAGATGATAGGAGGCGAGCCAGGTATGGTCGGAGGCGAGCGTGTGCTGACCCCAAAAGAATTGCTCACACTGGTTGAGCCAATTCAGGGGATCAACGGAGCCGTCGTTTGTGGCGAACTCCAACTTGTAAAACTTGGGCGGCGGCGGGTCCTGTGCGGCGGCCGAGGGCGATGCGGCGGAGAGCGTCGGCATCAGGCTGCCGCCGTGGAACAGGGGGTCGTCCAGCCCGCCGTAGAGGACGCCCAGGGCCAGGGTGCCGCCAGGCGCCATGACAGCCCCGGTGGTCAGTAGCGGTGGTAGGTGCGGCTGGGTACTGGGCGCCGTGTAGATGGGTTTCGACGAACCGGTGATCCAAGCCGAAAGCGGTGACGGCGACGGCGGGAACTTGATCTGCTGGATGGGAACGCCCTGGGACGGCGGCGGCGCGGCTGGGAATGAGGTCGTCGCAGTCCCGTCGTAGGGCATCCCATACTGGTACGAGATGACCGGCGCCGTGGTCGTAGCCAAGGGCGGCGGCGGCGGCGGTAGCTGCTGTTGGTGTGGCGGCGGAGGAGGTGGCAGCTGGGGCGCATAGGGCCCGATGAGGAAGGCCCTGATGCCCGCCATGGCCTGCCCTAATTCTAGGATTGCGGCCGTCATCTGCTCCAGGGTGAGGACGAGGGCGGACGGCGCCGGGGCAGAGGGTGCAATCGCCCCTGAGGACGCCAGCGCGCCTGCTGTGTGGGGCAGCAGCGCCGACGAAGACGCTGGTGGCGGTGGGTGGGTGTGCGGCGGCGGCGGGTCGGAAGAACTCGGTAGAGGGCTGGACATGATCGAACTAGAGATCTCTGATACCAGATTGATAGGACCTGATGCCCTGCCGGTGTTGCTGCGCAGGTTATAAGGGGTGGAAGAGGGGAGGATACGGTCTGTACTCTCGACGACGGCGAGGGGCCGTGGCGTCGAGAGCGGCGGCTGCTGCTGCTGCCCTAGAGTTCAAGTAGCGTTACAGTAACGCGGGTACTGTTCACGCGAAGGAGAGAGGGCAGGGACGGCTGGCTCCCAAGGGAAGCTAGCAACTTACTTGTTGCTTTCTGCTTCATTCCAATCGTCCCGATTACAAGTATTTATCCTTCCCTATAGATACTATAATTAAGGAACTATATCTATCTCTAAGAAAATACCAAATAAGCGATAAATTAGGCCTCTAAGCCCCTTAACAGACCGGCCCCTAGCCACTATTAGGCCTACGCTTGGCATAGGGGATGCCGGTCATAACATTCGTGCTCTATCTTCTCTGGCTCCCTGCACACAGGGTCGTATCGTACACATACGGTACATATCACTGCAAGTAATCCATCACGCACCTGTATCCGATATGGGATTCGACCCTTACCTGCTGTAGCTGGGTAACATAGGTGACCGGTATCACTGTATCAGCTGATAGTATTGCATAGCATAAACTGATGCTTATGTATCTTATATGTAAAATCTAAGGCATGAGCTAGGTATTAGATCTTTCATGGTAATGTTATTCTTCACCTGTCTGACGTATAACACAATATTCCTTGCAGTATTATTCAACACCTGGAGGATGCAAATTCGGTAAAGCTTGCAAATACCTCCACCGTGAGGGAAAAGAAGGGAAAACAGAGGTTGAAAAAGCTGAGCTGAACTTTCTAGGTCTTCCACTGCGACCAGTAAGTCTTTCATTACTTGTGCAGCTTATATACTTGTCCATTTCAGTGTAATTAAGGGCCTGTTTGGCAGAGATTTGGTTCAAACAACATCTTTAGCTTCTAAAATTCTTGGTGCTGGAGCTGTGGCCGAGATTGTGGGTACTTAGTTGAGCTATCTTGTTTTTTATTTGGCTGAAATACAAAATTTTCAATTTTTGTTTTGTCCTGACAATAGTATACCACTGCAAGGTGCAAAATCATATCTAGGTGTAATCATGATAATTGATTCAGGCACAAATTAACATGAAACTGAAAGCTTTGGATGCACTTATCAACTCAGTTTACCTTTGTATGCAGTGTTATCAAGTCATCCATTAATCGCGATTAATCGTCCGATTAATCAAAATTAGTTGTCCTAGTCGGTATCCTGGACTATGGGCTATGACTCGATTAGTCCGATTAGTTTCCTGGTCATCCGATTAGTTGTTGGCTAATCGTGGTTAGTCGGACGACTACGGGGTGGATGACCAGAAATGAAATTCAATTGCTGGGAGCTTAGGACATGTGCTACATCTGGGCTTTCATGTTTTTCAGCCCAATTTGGAACCCTACATGCAGCCACTGCCCTAGAGTTATCTTCATGCTTGATTGTATTAGTATATATTTGGTATGTTAGTCCTGATATATAGATGACGACTAGGACCGACCAGGGTCGACTAGTCACCCTGATCAACGACTAATTGTGATTAGTCGCCTGGTTGGTCCCATGGTGACTAGGATCGACCAGACGACTTGATAATATTGTTTGTATGGAATTATGGAAGGCATAAGCTGTTGTTTTAATGTTGCAGAGTGAAAAGGAGTGCCCATACTATATGCGCACTGGGAGCTGCAAATTTGCGACTAACTGCAAGTTTCACCACCCAGATCCTACTAACGCGCCTTCAAAAGAACCAGGGTTGCAACATGACAATGCGGATACACCACTGCAAAATGTCCAAGGATCCTCTTAGCCTAGCCTTCAGATATGGCCTGACCAGAGAACATTGAATGAACAGCATGTTCCTTTTCTAGCTCCAGCACCGTCATACGGTGGAGGGATGGTTCCACCTCAAGGAATGTATCCATCTCCTGATTGGAGTGGGTATCATCAGGTACTTGTACACATATTAAAATAATGCCTTTCACTTAAGCATTTGCCATGAATTGGATAATATTAGTATTTGTTGTCCTTAATTTACTTTTTGGTAAATTAAGAACCAAACATGCTAGTTCATTTGCTGGCGTGTGTTTATTCGTATTGACTTCCATTGTGATTTCTCAGTATCATGCCAACAGAATAGTGATGCCAAGTGGAAATATCATGTTCGACACATTTAGTAATTTCCTGGTATGCTTGATATTCATGCTTTCTCTTGGATAACTATTTGATGTGTGAATATTGGTTTCAGGTACCTTTGAATCCATATTACCCTCCTGGTGTCCCTTTTCCGCATTTTCCAGCCGCCCATATGAATCACCTGATGTACAAGGCTGCAGATATACCAGGAAATCAACCACCACCTTCTGACGAGTATCCCGAGAGACCTGGCCAACCTGAATGCCAGCATTTTATTAAGAGCGGTTTCTGTAAATACAGGATGAAATGCAGATTTCACCATCCAAGGTCGCGCCAGTCTGCACCACTAACAGGTCTTAGCCCCATCGGTTCGCCTATCAAACCTGTGAGTTCCTATCCAATCGTTTTACATTCCCCATTAAGGCTGCCCCTTTTAATATTGTAGTACATAGATCACTTGCGTGGAGAGGAAAGAACAGAGGGTCTCCATATTTTGCTTGGGGACATCTCGTCACCTTCATAGGACAGTTCGCTTTTGTTAGACGATTAGACAAAAGATTTGCATTCTACAAAAGAAATGTATAAGCTTGTTGCAAATGATTTATTTGTTACTACTATTAACTTCTGCCAGGCTTGGCAAACCGTTTTAAAAATATGATTCTGGTTAAGTTTATTTTATTTTTGCCTTGTGTTACAGGATCAACCTGTGTGCACGTATTATGGCCGCTATGGTTTTTGCAAGTATGGGCCAGCTTGCATGTTCAACCACCCCTTCAACTTCGGCCCTCCCGTGCCGGCAGCAGGACCAGCCCTCCCCGGGCAATACACTACACCTGGAAACTTCATTGTCTAGCAGGCATGGGATGAGCGATTTTTCTGACGTCGCCACGAATGCTTGTAATAACTTCCACCTGTAAAATAGCGTAGACAAAAGCTGTACGTGGTTGACGGTAGAGATCCAGCACGTTGGCGCAACGAAGTTGCTTGGAGCTGGGTACATTACAGTTGGTATTCATGGAAACCGATCGAACCTGTGATAGTATTGCAAACTTTACGCTGTACAGCAAGTTACAGTTCGTACATAAACTGCCGTTGCATTTAAAATCCTGAATTGCTACACGCATGTTTTGGTTGCGTAATAAGATGGTATCAAAGTCCCATTAGTAGTAACAAGTATGGTCATACGTGGGCAAGGGTTTTGTGGAATTATATCGTCTCCGTGCTCAAATCGTTTCAGGGTTGAGTGGCAGAATTTAACAAACGATCATTAAATATTGAATGTCAAGTGAACTAATAATTGGGAAAGGGCCCAAAACCAGGGAAAATATCTCCTTTGCTTTCTATTATAAATTATATGACGTTTTGACTTTTCTAGGTATAATATAGCTTTTGTTATGTACTTGCTGTCTAGTAGTTAAAATAATGTTTGTAGAAAAGCTAAAACGTCTTATAATTTGAAATGGAGTAAATACAAAATAAGTTTTATTTGAGGAATAGGTTTATATTCGTCTCCTCAATTCTTGGGTTTGTATAATTTTAACCCTCAATTTAAGTGCTATTTGGTTTTGTGCTAAAATTTCTACAATTTTCTAAACATAATAACCTGGCACATATTGTCCTTGTTTGGATCCATGCATCGACAATGTAAATGGAGAGACAAGAATGAATACAAAATTAAGAGAATGAATGATCTATGTTACATATTCATACACAGCGAATAAATGCATATCTCAAGTTATATTCATCCAACAAGCATGATCCTTAACTTTATATAAATCTTATTAAGTTATCTATAACTTTCTTATTATCATCTTAAGATGATTCTACAGCTAACAAGGTTAAATAACACCAAGAAAGCATCTCTGTCCAGATTTGGACACAATCTACCATTTTACTTAGAACAACAATAACTAGAGTTCTATACCACCAAAAGCAGACTCTCTATTATCACCAATACGTGATTCCATGTTTAAATGAGCCAAACAATACAATCATTCAGATCTGTCCAGAGGACATGCAAAACCTAACAACAAATTTCTAAAATCTATAACTCCTAAACCATCAGGCCTAAAATCATGAAATTTAATACAAGCAAGATAAGAAAATTATATACAACTCTTGTATTCACCACATTTACAGAAAACATCATTTGATCCACGAAGTTAATCGCTTAACCAAAACTGTACATGCAGCCTAAACAATAGAGGTATACTACATTCATCTATCATTTAGTTGCTACAAACTAACATATTCTTGATATATATGCTACCTCAAACATCTCAGAATCATATTCAAACAATCATAGCACGCAGGAATAGCTACTAGAAGCATCATATGACCATACATACATGTATATACTCACAACATTCATCCTCTACTTTAATAATGCAACATGTGTATTATTTTTAGTACTATATGAGAACAACTAGTTTGGAGCTGAGACTTTTATGAGTAGTAGATGTTATCAAAACATGGCTACCGCACAAATTTCACATGCTCAGGTTTTGTAATTTAATTACTATGAAAAAGACAAATTGCTATTGCAAGAAAACATGTAAAAGCAAGATAAATCTAAAGATCATCATTTTCTATAAACATATAGCCATATTATGGTTTCTCAGGTTACAATATCACCATGCAAGGGCAAACGAACCATATTTCATATTTTTGCATATATAAATTATTTATAAACCATTTAAAATCATTTATCAAGCATTAATCAAGTTAAATCAATAACTCAATCATACTGCATTCAATGAACATGAAATTTTTAACATAGTACACACATAGAATCAGTAGCCTACCATAAAAATTGCATAGCAATTGGAGCACCACAACTTTAGATATGAATTTATTCCTAGAAAACCCTAATTAACATAGATAAATAAAAACAGCAAAAACCTTCTACTAACACATATTATATTATAACTTTGGTGCATAGATCTACTCTCAAGGATTCCAAAAAGTCTTCATTTGCTATTTTATGATTTTTCTATGATTTATTATGATTTTCAAAGTTTTTGCCATAAAAAGGAAAATAGATTTGCACCGAGGCCCCTAAACTTTCACGAAAACAGACTTCAACGAACAGTTCCTTCTAGGTACTGTTCATATGAGTCAACAACTTTGTAGTTAGGCCCTTTCCTTTCTTCAAATTCTTGCTAGAGGTCCCTCTTCTTCTTCTCGTCGGGCAGAGCAGAGGCGCCACCGGGCTGGTCGGTCTTGGGGAGCGGTGGCCGACAGCGGCGGGGCAGGGCCACGGCCATGTAATGGTGGGCCTCGCTCGTGGGTGGCCTCGGCCTGGCCTGAGGCCGACTGTGGCTCCCTGGCCATGGGCGCAGGTGGCAGCCTGGCGACGGCTCCAGCGGACAGGGCGCTAGCGGAGCTCTAGCGGTGTGGAAGAGGCGGTGGAGCACCTAGGGGCCCACGCGCATCCGCTAGTAGCCGCGGTTTGCACCGCGGTGGCCCAACGTGGCCTGGCCGCGCGTGCTGGCGGCGACGGCCGGGTGGGCACCGGCAGCAGCAACGCACGGTGGTGGAGGCATTCGGAGGAGAGGCACGACGCGCACGGCGTGGCTCGAGGAACACGAAGGCGAGGCTAGATGGGACGGAGGAGGCTCACAGCAGCGACAGCGAGCCCTGCTCGGTGGTGGCCATGGTGGAGCTCGACGTGCCCACGCACACGCTCCATGGAGCAAGGGGGAGAGCCAGGGAAAGCGAGAGCAAGTGAGGGAGAGACAGAGAGTGAGCCTGGGCGTCCTCGGCAACTCCCCATCGACACAGATAGGCAGGGGCACGTGGCAGCGACGCTTGGTAATGGTGGGGGCACGGACAACGCATGGACACCATGAAGTCAATCCATCAAATTGCTGGCACATGCGAGACTACCCGACTTGGATGCCATTTTACTGGATATTCCAAGCATATTAGGGCCTGGTGGCTTAAGGCAAAGTTGCTCTTCTCTGGCTGCTCTTCCATCCCTATTAAGGGTGTACGACAATTAGAGTCCTCCATTAGCAGCTAATTAAGCCCCAAGTTGACACTGTCAACGACCTAACGAGGTTTAAGCCTTGCTCTGCTTGTGCTCTAATTACTTGGTCCAAACATGGTCAAACTGATCCCAACCTTTTGTATGTCCTTCTCCAAGATGTAAACTCCAACTTTTATCTTGGGATCAAGTCAAGTTGCTTAACAAAAACACGAGAACGCGACATGCCAACTATCCTTGCCACTAATCTTAGACTTAGAATATTTTTTAGGGTTGAAAACAGCAGCTGATTCAAACTTGAGACCACTGTTTGAGCAACATAGGAGTTGAAATAGGTCTTGATCCAAAAATAAATTTTGTTTTACTCCACTCAAACTACAACTTTTGTTTAAGGTCCAACTCCATGCAAGCACTCTAGACAGTTGGTCAACACAGGTCAAAACCATATCATGAAAAAGGACAAGTTTAGCTATTCCCACACTTAGAAGCATTTTCTTGACATTTGCTCAACACGAACTCTTCATGACTTTTGTTGTAGAGTTCAACTAGAGTCATTTGGGCAAGGTAGCAAGGTTTTGTCGACATCCCATGTTCCCATTCACCTGATAAAGCAATTCAAGAAAGGTTATAACTTATCATTTCATGTGACCTTTTGATTCCAAACTTCATGAAACTTTTCCAATTGTTAAGATGGATTGATGCTAAGGTGATGCTCATGGAAGAGGCATGTTGAACACTACTCAAGCCTACATTTGAAAAGGGTCAACATGTAAGCAAAGTGTATTGTCCAAGTACAAGTTGGGGCTCCTTTTCATAGGTTTGACCTCAATACCTTCATCATTACTTCCAGATTATGAACTACAGATCATAATCATTGCTTGATATATCCTACTTAAATCAAAATCTACTACTTAACTTGTGACTAACACCCGAGGTGTTACACTATCTGCCAAGATGGACCTGCTGATGAAGAAGCTCGAAGACCGAGCTAATGAGAAGAAAGAAGTGATGCACATTCATGATTCCCGCATGACATGTGAAGAGTGTGGAAACACTGGGCATTCAGGGAACAACTGCCCTAAAATTCATGAGGATGTGAACTTTGTCAACAACAACAACTACTATTGTCCTTAACAAAATCAAGGATGGAACCAGCAACAGAGGCTGAACTACCAAAATAACTACCAAGGTAACCCTTAAGGTAACAATTATAATAACTTCAATTAACCACCCTTGAGAGAATTAATTGCTAGACAATCTAGACTCATGGAAGGATTATTTAAGAAGGTAGCTACCAATGATAAAATTCTAGAAAATATAAGTAATAGAATGGATAGCTTTGCTTCTGCCATTAAGAACCAGCATAGCTTTAATAAAATGATAGAATCACAAATAGCTTAGCTAGCGGCTGCTGTTTCTCCGTTCGACAAAGGTAAGATTCTAGGGCAACCGAAAGATCTAGAAACTGTAAATCTTGTCGATATTCACATTGCAGCTTTCTACTACACACAACCATCAGAGGGAAGGTGGATAGATTATTCACTACCCAATAAGAAAGGTGACCCTGGGAGACCTGTCATCCATATCTCCATTGGACCTCACATTTTCCAAGAAGCTATCTGTGACTTTGGAGCAAGTGTCAACATCATGCCTAAGGTAATCTATGAGAAAATTTTAGGAGATCCTTTGTTCTACACAAATATGCATTTGCAGCTTGCAGATCAGTCACTCTGCTACCCCAAGGGAGTTCTTGAAGACACCATTATTCGAGTGGGACAATCATATATTCCCTTAGACTTTGTGGTTTTAGAAATAGGTGGAGATAAAAGGGCACCCATGATCTTGGGCCGACCTTTCCTAAGCAC